AATGAATGAATGAATGAATGAATGATTTCATATCCTTCCAACAGCACTTTAAGGTCACTATTTTACCCTGTTCACAAATAAGAAAACCCTCAAAAGGTTCAATGAAGATCAAACAACAACTAAGTTACTAAGCCAGGATGTGAAATTATTATACGGGCCTGGATCTAACACCAGCCATCTAATCAGAGCCTTAAAGGGCTTCTAAATCATGTCTCACACTTATGTTTATTTTAAATAGTATCCACTGAACTCTAAAATGAAGATATTGCTTGATTATTTTGTATTTTGTGGAAAATCAGATTTGGGGAAGAAAAAGTCACTTTTCTGAACACTACGGCAGCACCAGGGCCCAACAACTGTGTTTAGTCTCCGAAGCTGCCAGCTTCTGGACACCCTAGCAGCAGAATCTGTACTATTTAGGACAAGGCTTCTCAAACTTTTCTCTGTAGTAACATATATAAGACGGATTATGAGCATAAGCTCTGGAGTAAACTGCCGAGGTTCAAATCCTGACTGCCACTTACTAGCTGCGTGATCTCGGGCAAGCTACTTAACTCCTCAATTTCTCTGCTTCCTCATCTGTAAAATGGGGATAATTATAATACCTCAAAAAACTATTGTGAAAATTAAAAGAGCTTAGATATATAGAGTGCTGAGAAAGGTAATATGCTCTCAAATGTTAACTATTAATAGTCTCAAATTTCAATACTTTAACAAATAATATACACACCTTAAAGCAAATATAAATGCATCACTGTATCATAATCCCAGGAATAGGAGCCGCCCTTTGTATTGGCAGTTAATCTTTAATTGAATTGATTTAACTTAAAAGTTTACATGAAACTAAAATTCAGAAGAATTAAACCGGGAGAAGAAATTTAATTCCCAGAGTTACTGCCACCTCCTATCTGTTTATTTTGGACTTAAAGCACTCTAGTCAATCCTAAGAGCCAAAAAAGAATGGAAAGGAAACCAGACTCAAATCTTTTAGAGATTCATAAATCACATCTACCTAATTTAATTTAATTCCCCTGAAACAAATCAGAAGCCGGAACAGTCCATAGAATATTGTGCTTAAATCCCCTACACAAACATGCCGGACGTACTCTGTCTGCAGAGACACAAGCTTCTGGGTGGTCTACACAGGGTAAAAGTACGCCAAACCATAGCAAACAGACATCAGCGACCATTTACTTCTCAAATAATTACAACAAACTTTCTATGTTTTTAAGTGCTGAGAGCTCATCAACTGCTTCAGGAGAGCAAGGAAATTGTCTATCTTGTTCATCACTGTTTCCCTAGACCTGGAACAATCCTGGCACACAGTAGGCCTTCAATAAATGTTTGCTGAAAAAAATAAACCAAATATTAGACAAATTAATATTACTTTCAGCAAAGATGATGACAAGAAGATGAGAAAGAAACTTGTCTGTACTGTAAGGAGGATGTTAAGAATGTTGGATATTTATGAATTGTTGGAGGTTATTCTTGATAGTGCCAATTTTACATCTAAGAAGATATATAAGCATATAAATCTTTTAATGGTAAATTATCAAGGATGTTAGCCAAAATATTGAACAACTAATAATAAAAAGTTAACATGTGTTTATGGATATTCACATCTAAATCAAAACCTAAAAATATATTTCTTTTTGATCTCTATATTAAAACTGCTGTCAAGTAATTTAAATTGAAATTCAGACCATTCAAGTCATTCCAATAATTCCCAAATCAGCTTTTAATTTTTAGAAATTGTTGGTGTAATCTTTGGTTTGCTGCAACTATCACTGGCTAAACAATGCACTAATCTAAGTCACAGTTTGATGTAAGATCCACACCAAACTCTTGTAACAGCTTCTCTATTAAATTCATTGTTATGACTCCCCAGCTCCTTATGCTTGTTACATTCAAGACAGATCAGAAAAAAATTTGAGCATGGTGATCAGGTATGTTCCTGGACATCAGAGTCTGGACCAAGGACAGAGAGCACCCATGACGACTGTAAGGCCACCAAACCACCTATGCCACGCCATTCAGTTCGGGGCCACCTTGGAGCACTTGTGGAGTGCTGCATCTCCACAACCATCACAACCACCCTTGCTGCCTCAGTACCCTCAGCAGCTCTGGAGGACCAGCTGTGTCCACACCAGCACTCTCCTAGGCCGTATTGCTCTTCTCCACCAGGTAACAGCATTGGGTGACTTGTAGTCCCAATAAGTAGAGGATTTCTCTTTACTCAATAATACAGAAAAATTTTAATGTTTAAAAATTTTTACACCACAGCCATGTACCAACTGAAAATCAGCCCTGAATATTACCAACATGGGATGATAACACTATGTTGAAACATCTTTGACACAAATGAATCATTAATCTGTTCATCTGGAAGATAGTTTGAGTGGTTATTCAAAAGGTATCCATTAAAAAGAACTTTAATTTATAAGTTACTAGGACCATAGGAACAAACTAATGCCAATTAGGGGAACAGAGTAGCTAAAGAAAGTGGTCAGGGAAGGCTTGTTTGAGAAGCAGAAATCTGAGCAGAGATTCAAAGGAAGTGAACAAGAAAGCCATGTAGATACCTGAAGGAAGAACATTCCAAGCTGAGCTGCAGAAGAACTCCAAAGGCCCTGAAGCTGGAACATACTTGGCATGTTGAGGGATGGCCAGGTGGGCAGCGTGGTGGGAAAGTAATGTGTGAGGGGAGATCAGTGGGAGACAAGGTAGGAAAGTACATGCAGGCAGGTCACGTATGGCCTTGAAAACAATGGTAAGGAAACTGGACTTGACAGTAGGTGTGATAGAAGGCTGTGGGAGGGCTGTGAGCGGGCTGTAAGCAAACAAATGACATGTCAGATTTACATTCTGATGGAGTTACACAAGAAACTATGTATCTGTATATCTTTTGTGCATCTTTTATTTTCTTCTTATTATTTTTAACTCTTTGAATTCTCTACTCCGCTGTGTCAGATGCTGCTTTGAGACTGAGTAAAATGAATCCTGATAACCGAACACTGGATTTGGCAATATGGCGGCCACACGTGATCTTGACAGAGGAAATTGCTGGGAAGTACTGCGGAGGGGAAATCGTAACTGAAGTGGAATCGAGGGAAAATTGGAGCAGATGATTGCAGAGATAGCAAGTATGGACAACTCTTTCAAGTTTGCTGTAAAATGGAGCAAAAAATAAAACAAGTTGGAGGAGCATGAGGTGTTAAGGAAGGAGATCTTACATTCCATTTGTATGTTGACCAGGAAAATCCAGTAAAAAAGATTTTCTGAAATGATGATCTAGGAACAGGGTAGGGTATGTGACAGAGGTCAGTCTATGAGGGAAGTGAAAAGGGAGAGGACCTAGTCTGCAAAGGTGAAGAAGTTGGCATTAGATAGTAGCAGGGACAGTACATTTCTTTTTAATACAAAGGAAGGGGGGCACCTGGGTGGCTCAGTCCTTAAGCGTCTGCCTTCGGCTCAGGTCATGATCCCAGGGTCCTGGGATCGAGTCCCACATCGGGCTCCCTGCTCAGCAAGAGGCCTGCTTCTCCCTCTCCCACTCCCCCTGCTTGTGTTCCTGCTCTCGCTCTCTCTCTCTGTCAAATAAATAAAATCTTAAAAAAAAAAAAATACAAAGGAAGGGAAGAAAAAATGTTGTACAAATGTACAAAGGCTGGTAATTTGGTGATGGGAAGATATGAAAGTTTTCTGATGGCTTTTATTTTCAAGAATCATATACAAGGAAGGCATGTCAAGACTTAAAAGAGCTGATACCATGATGCTGGAGGGCCAGGACATTAAAGTCTGCCTAACTGAAGTCATTGGGGGGCGGGGGGGGAACAACACTATGTGACTCTGATTAATTATTAAACAATTCATATTTGGGGCATAAGAAAGTAGAAGTATAAACAGTATATACCACACACTCAAAAATTCAGCAAGCATAAACTCCTCAGGTGATTTTAATTCTCTAGTTCTGGGATGCTACAATTTTTACTTATACTTAAATCACAATGACAGACTAGACACCTGTTTTTCCAGTCACATGATTAAGCTTACATCTCAGTATTACCACTTAGCTTACTATTTTATGATCTGAAAATTAATCTTATAAGGTCAAAAACTCAAATACAGCTATTGTGGTTTTTTTTATAACTTCATTCTACTTTTTTTCCAACCTACTAAGGAGAATGTTTACCTATGTCAGTTTCCTGATCATTCTCCCTGAATTTGGGTGTGGCCAGACTATACTACTAGCAGCACTATATCTACCTAATTAGAGAACAATAAAGTTGACCTTTGACAATATGCACATGTCACTATCAGAAAGTGTTTTTTCTTCATCTATGTTAAGGATTATGTTTGTTCTCTATGCATATAAATAATTGATACATTATTAAAATTTGAGATGATCTACCCAATCTTCAGTAGAATGACAGCTAAGAGTAAATCAATGAACATTTGAAAGTATTTTCTACAATTGTATTTAATCTCAATTTCTGGTAATACTTCAAGTTCATTAACACTCATTTAAAGAAACCTAAAACTAAACTGTCTGTGATAATTTCATGTATTGTTGTACAGTTTTCCTTCCACTGGTTCAACTGTCAACACCTCTCCAACAAATTAGAGCCCTCTTACGCAGGATTATTGTAAATACTGACATCTGCACATTTCTAAAAAGTACCCAGGTGTACAGTTCTCAATGTCAGCATAATTTCTCCAATATCTTTGGCTAGATGTAGTTGTTTAACAAAACAGTGCGTGTTAAAGATGTATTTACCCATTACAGCATCTAACGAATTAATGAATTGTAATTAGTAATTTGCTTGTCTGCATTCCACTCTAGATGACAAACTCTATGAGATCAGGGACTGTGTCCATCTAGCTCATCTTTGTATCCTCAACTTGACATACAGTAAGAGTCAATAAAATATATGCTGAATCAGTGAAAGTCCCAGAACCTTGGAGGTTAGGTTAGGAAGACCCATAGCAATTCCACTTACCCGTGAGATCCAAAGTTCTGTCTACAAAGACCACTGATGCCCTGCCTGTGGCAGTCTTCCTCCTGTTCTTGGCAGGGCCATAATTAGCCAGATCTGCAGCGATGATCCGACTGAGGGAACCTACAGCAAAACACTCCTCCCGCACCCCTAAATGTTCACACAGAGAACTGAGGCCTGACACCAGGCACCTGATCTGCAGAAGCAGCTCAGGGGGCAGGGCAGTGGCATCCACCTCACTCAGGCTTCCTAGCCTCCTCTTGTCTGGTCGGGCACTGTTAAGGAGATGCACATCCTGGGGTAGCAGTGGAAAAAGGGAAGCAAAGGCTGGAGTCAAGGCAAGGTGGGGAGCAACAGGTGCGAGCAAAAACGGGACGTGCAGCACCTCGGCCGTGTAGTTCATATTGCCCATCCACTCACACAGTTTCTCCTCCAGTTGCTCGAACACCGGCTGCCCTTCCAGCTCCGCCGCTGCAGCCGCCGGCACGTGATTAGCGGTGAGGTGGACAGCGTGGTTCACGGCTGTGACCACCACACAATACTGGAAGTGACTGCGGCAGATGATATCCCGCAGGGTCTCCACGGTCCGGCCTTTCAGCAGGCAGCTCAGCACAAACACCGCCTTAGGCTGCTCGGCTCCACCACCGACAGCTGCGGGCTCGAACTCCCGCAGGTGACACGCAGGATCTCCCACCGCCTCCAGGAGTCGCGTGGATCCGCAGCCCCAATGCAAGCTCTCCGCGCAGGCGGCGTCCAGATAGACCAGAGCCCATTTCACTTTGGCCAGCACCTGCTCCCAACCTTGCTGGGTAAAGGAGAGCACTCCCGGGGCGCTCATGATTGGGGTTCGCAGAGCCGGGACACTAGAGTACAGGAACTTCTTTTAGAACTCACAGCTTCCGGGAATTGGGCTCCTTGACGCTTTGACAGTCAACACAGTACACGTGGTGCTGCCTCCGACTTGTCCAGTGTCGGCGCACATTGATGACGTAGACGGAGCGTGATTGGCTAGCGAGGAGAACGCGCGGAAGAATGGTGGGGCTGGGAAGAAGTGGGCAGGGCTCCGTCGCTCCCGCCTGAGGGGAGAGGTCTGTGAATAGCTCAACTGTTTTCTTTTCCTCTCCTTCTTTGTGCTCGGATTACCTTTCCCTGCATCTCCAGAAATCTCGGGAATAGTAAAAGCTATTCCGAAATTTATTATTTTCCTTGGATCTGAACACATCTCTAAAAGTCGTTCTGCCCATCTAAACCAGGAAACGCCAGAGAAGATAAAAACAACCAAGTGATATGTAATGTTTTGTAGTTTATAAATGGCTGTCTCATACGTTATAGCGCTCAAGCCTCATGAAAAACCTACTGGTCTCGTTTTCACTTTCTCCATCTTCCCTCATCTCATTGGCACTAAATCTTCGTCTACTTCAAAAATCCTAGAATCCAGCCCCTTCGGCCCTTCCATCCTTGCCATCACTGGCTTAATCCAACATCATCACTCAACTGGGCAATAGCAATGATCCCCTATAATTTCCCAGTCTTAATCTCTTCTCCCACCAATTTAGTTTTTCTTCCTAATGAACTGAGCTGGCCCTACCATTTTCCAGCTTAAAAGCCTCTCCTGGCCCAATTGCTTACAGGCCACAGCCTGACTTCTTATAATGGCACCAAAATCCTTCATGATTTCTCAATTTCTCTCCACCTAATCCCTGCCTGGAACATTATATACCTGCACAATTAAGTCAAGAGATTGAGCACAGAATGTTTCACAGGTTTAGTTCAATTCAACCACTATTTATTGAACACTAAGTATAGTCACTGACGTAGGCTCCAAAGGCACAATGGTTAATAAATTCCCTGATCCATGAAGAATTTTCACCTCAGCTAAGTACTTGCCATATCAGGAGGTAAGTTTTAGCATACCTGTTTTCCTACAAAATTGTGCACTAGAGGCCTCGTTTCTCCAACACTAGAAAATATGCAAGTTTTCAATGAATGTTGACTAAATGATCAATAAATCTTCCATTTATATCCATATAATAAGTGATATATTCAACCAACTTTTAATATACAATATTGCAGACCCTGTGTTTGGCATTGAGAATATAAATAGAAATAAGGCACAGTCTTGCCATCAAAAGGATCTGAAATAAAAGACCCACATATGTAAAGAAAGCAAATGCAATATAAAGTTACAGAAGCAATAATTTGTTTAATGGATAAGAGTTACAAAAGAGGAAAAATAAATTCTGATTGAGTGAAGGAAAAAGGGAAGTGGTCAGAAGTTTCATATAAGACATGAGTTTTGACTTGTCTTCCAAGAAAACCAGGTGTTCACCAGGTGGACAGGATGGGGAGGAGCATTCCTCGCAGCTCAAACACAGAGTGCAGCATGGACAAAGGTATAGAGGCACACAACACGTTCTCTGGAACTACAAACAGTTTAGTATAGCTGGAATATATTGTATGAAGAGAGGCCCAAACTGAAACAGGAGCTCTGAACTAGTAAAAAGGGACTAGATCAGAGTGAGTCTTATTTTTTATTCTAAGTAGTAGCAGCCTATGGAGTACAGTTAAAGTATTGTTAGGAGTGAATATAATTTGTTCACATATGGAGTTTTTTGGGGGGAAGTATTCTAAATGGAAAATAGCTTAAATGGGCAAGATTTAGGACAGGGAGAGTATTTAGAAAGCAGTCACAGCAACAACTCTGGGTGAGAACAGGTAAGGGTACCCACAGAGGGGCTAGACAGCATGGGGTATATAAAGAGATGTTAAGAAAATGGAACCAAAAAGTCTGGTGACTGGATTGACAAAAAGGATGAGGCAGAGGGAGAATTTCAGATTCATACCCAGTTTTCTGCCTGGATGACTGGTAAGTGGCTGTGCCTTAGATTTGGAAAACCAGAAGAGAAGCAGGTTGAGGAATAAATGTATTAAGTTCAGTTAGGACACGGTTTTTTGTTTTGTTTTTAATTGTGGCAAAATATATAAAATTTACATTTACTATCTTAACCATTTTTAAGTGCACAGTTCAGTATAGTTAAGTATTTGCACAATATTATACAACCAATCTCCAGAATTTTTATCTTGTGAAACTGAAACTTTATATCCATTAAACAACAACTACCCATTTCCTCTTCCCAATGGCTGGTTTTTTCTCAGCATAATATCATCAAGATTCATCTAACATATGTGAGAATTTTCTTCCTTTCTAAGGCTGAATTATATTCCATTGTATATATCATTGTGTATACTACATTTTCTTTATCCATTCATCTGTCAATAGACATTTGTATTGCTTTCACATTTTGACTATTGTGAATAGTGCTGCTAGTTACATGGGTATACAAATAACGCTTTGAGACCCTGCTTTCAGTTCTGTTAGATATGTACCCAGAAGCAGAATTGCTAGATCATATAGTAATTCTATTTTTAATTTTTTTCAGGGCCCTCTGTTTTCCATAGCTGCTGTATCATTTTAGATTCCCACCAACAGGACATAAGGGTTCTAATTTCTCTACATTCTCACCAACATTTGTTATTTTCTTTTGTTGTTTTGATATTAGCCATCCTATTTGGTGTGGGGATTCATTGTTTTGAAGGTACTGTGGGACATCCTGGTGGAAACATATAGTAAGCAGTTGGATATATGACTGTGGATTGCAGAAGAGAGTCTGATAATTTGGGAATCATCAGCAAACAGGTGTGCTTGAGATTGCTTAAAGAGAGCACAAAAAAGAAAGACAATGAGAGTGATGGACAGATCTCTGAGCAACATTTCTAGGTCTGCTGAAGGAGTGAAACCAGTGAGTAGACTTACAGAGGAAACAAGTTTCAAAGAGGACAGAGTAATTGACAGTGACAAGTGTCAGAAAAGTGAAAAATGAGATGGAATCTAAAAGAGGGTGGAGAATATGAAATTGGGGTCAAAGAAAATAGCTTGGCACCTAAAATTCAAGGAAGGAACAGTTTTGTGATATAATAGGACCCAGAGCATGGCTTTGAATGTGGATTGATAAAGTGGAGTAAATGGAGGTTGCTGAATAATTAGATTCTAGGAGATCAAAAAATATGAGAGAAGCAGGATGTGCAAGTCACTCATGATGCCAATTGGTAGAGAAAAGGAAGATTGTGGATCAGACTCCAACATTATATCAGTGAATGAGGGGACATGAAGAGAGAAAAGTAGAGGTAGTAAATGAGGGTGCCAAGTACAGGTAAGGAGGATTTTCACAGGAAAGTGGAACCATAATGGTCCAGTGGTGGCCCACAATAGCCAGGGAAATGGCAATGCTACCTTCCAGTTCTACAGTACAAGAGGGTGAAGGGAAATGGTGAGCATCTGGTATAGAAAGAGTAGGAGAAGTGCTGTCCTTGACGGAAGTTAGATTTCAGTTTCAGTGAACGAGTAAAGACATTCTTCTGCTAAAATATTGAGAATACTGGACATGTATATATAATGGAACAAAGGTAGGGACCAAGAGGTAAATGAAGAGTTGGGATTCAGGCCTAAAGAAATGGGGGGGAGGGGGGCACCTGGGTGGCTCAGTTGGTTAAGCGACTGCCTTCGCCTCAGGTCATGATCCTGGAGTCCCGGGATCGAGTCCCGCATCGGGCTCCCTGCTCGGCAGGGAGTCTGCTTCTCCCTCTGACCCTCCTCCCTCTCATGCTCTCTGTCTCTCATTCTCTCTCTCACAAAAAAAAAAAAAAAAGAAATGGGGGGGAGGGATAAGCACAGAGAATGTGAGGGAATGACACTAAAAGGGTTGACAAAGAGTGACTAAGAATGAGGATATGTGGAGGACCCTAGAAGGTTGTGTATTGCATGACCTATATGGCCACATGCAACCCCAGGGCTACCAGATCATGAAGGGACTTGTAGGTCACGTGGTAGAAGTTTGGATTTTACTTTATGTGTAACAGGAAACCACTGAAAGGTTTGTGTTACTTGAAATGCAGTGTGGCAGTAGAGATGGAGGGAATTAGATATGGGATATATTTTACAGGAAGAACTAATGAGTCTTGCTAATGGGCTTTCTTAGGTGTGAAAAGGACTCATAAGGGAAAGAGAGGAATCAAGGGTCATTTGGGTTTTGGCTGGAACAATGTTGGATAATGGTTATTGATACTAAGAAGGAGTATGGGAGTGGGATAGAACAGGTTTGGGAAGGCAATTCACAAGTTCTGTTTGGGGCATAAATTTCATGTGCCTATTAGATATCCAAGGGAGTCATCAGTGAAGCATCAGAGTGAGCTCAAGGAAAAGTTGAGACTGCAGGTGGAAAGCTGGGAGTCATTGTCTGTCAGTGACACATATCACATAGATAGTATCAAAAGTCATGGGATAGGGGTGCCTGGGTGGCACAGTCTCTTAAGCACCCAGCTCTTGATTTCAGCTCAGGTTGTGATCTCAGGGTCTTAAGATCAAGCCACATGAGGAGCCTGTGTCAGGCTCCATGCTCAGTGGGGAGTCTGCCTGAGATTCTCTCTCTCTCTCCTGGCCCCTCCCTCTGCTCACGTGCTCCTTCTCTCTCTCTCTCTCTCTCTCTCTTTCAAATAAATAAGTATATCTTAAAAAAAAAAAAAAAAGTCATGGGACTGGATGAAATGACCCTGGGAGCAAGGGTAGAGAGAAAAGAGAAGAGAATCCAGGAAAAACCCATTTCTTGCCCTCCGATGTTATGGTGGAGTCAAGTCCTGCTGAAATTGCATACTTAAGTTAATCAGCTTTACCTTATTTCAATGTGATTGTACTTCTTTGCTCGAAATAAATACCAGTTATTTCCTATTCCTCATAAAATCAAGCATATCTCCCTTCGCCTAATTTCTAAGTCCTTCATGTGCATGATCAATATTTAGCTTAAGGATTTATTAAGCACTTATCTGGTGAATACAGAAATAAACTTGTTCTCACCCTTAAATGGTGGGCAGTTTATGTAATAGTATAGATGTGAATAGATGACACAATTTTCCAGAAAGAACTAGCAAT